CTGCACAAGCCTGATGACTGAGGTCAATCACAAGAACCCAGTCAAAAATGCAAGTAAAGAACCAACCACGGAATGTTGTCCTATATATTCAAACACACTCTGTGTCTCACACACATGACACAGAGTCACACTCCCATCAGTGGTAAATAAAACTAAAGGAAAACATGGAATATCCCATCACCTGGAGTGTACATGTGTATCTGCTGTATTCATGTATAAATCAAAATGTTTATAGTTGACACAATAATGGTACACATTTTCTCTCATGTTCTCTGTATGCTCATTAAATATGCCTTGGCAAATGGCAAATGAAAATAAAAATCAGTGCTGGGCATATTTATTCACACGCTTTTTCCAGTTGATGTGCACTTTTCAACTCACAGAAAACATGAACAAACAGCCTTTTAATGCGGCAGTTCCAAACCACATTCGGAGAGCAGCTAGTAAACATTTAACTTTAGATTAGCTTTCTCAAACTTTTAAGCACTGAAATTCAAGATTTGTTTCCATGCTGAAGCCAGGCCTCAGCATCTTTTTTAAGCCTCTCTTGGCATCTCATTTTCACGCACCATCTGAGATGACTTGGAATACATCAGAAAATAACACCGCTTACAAAAAAAAAGAGCAAAACTATCTGGACAGTGCCTATTTCTACATTCATCGTTTGTGGGAATCATTCTGGGGGTATTTTATTTTAAGTGTCAATACTAAAAGATGATCTTATTAGAGTTAGTGGCTTCAGTCAGCAAATGTTGTAACACTGCCTCAGAAAAACTTATTTTTAGTACTTGGGATAAGATACAGATATAGCAGTTATTTTTAGATAATTAATATTTTGTGTGAAGCTTTAGACAACTACATCAAATGATGTAGCATTATATTTTTAACAATTAACACCATCCAACAGGGAGGAATGACATTCTCAGTTCTTATGCAAATGAGGGTTAAAATTGGTTACATGGCATAAACTGAGCCTAAACTCCATCACTAGAAAACTGGAGAAATCACGTTTATCTTTTGAGATCAGTTGCTGGGACCACTTAAGTCTCAACATTTCCTAAGACTCAAAGAAATGCCACATTTTCCATTCTCACAGTTACATTTTATTTTAAGGAAATAAACAGAAGAAAACACACAAGTGAATACTCCCTCATATACATATTCAACTTGCCATTTATGAGAAAATTGGCACTGTCTTTTGACTAAGTTTATTTCAATACATGAATATAATGCAGAATCCAAAAGCACAATTTTAAAAACCACAAAATATAGGAAAAAAAGATTATGGGTTTAATAATTGGAAAAAGGCTACTGATTTTTAATCAAATATAGGTACACTGAGAAATGATTGTATTTGTGTAGCAATATATAATAGTTTTACCATTTTTGTTTTCTATGATTACATACATATGTAATCAAAATATGAAGAGTTAGACTGACATAGTGATAGACTTCTTTAATCTCAGCCCTTGGGAGATGGGCGTAGATGGGTCTTTGTGACTTAGAGTCTGGCCTGGCCTACATGGAGGGTTTTAGGTCAACCAGAACAACACAGCAGGACTCTGTCTTTAAAAAGGAAAAGCTATGTTTAAAAAAAGAGGCCATCACGTAAAAAGACAGGATTTATCTTACGTTCTACAATTTCATATTAAAACTGTGTCAAATTTTCACTAAGTGAGCTTTTACAATATCCAATAACAAGTTAATTACCATTAATTCATATATAGCTTAGTTAGATACTAGGTAATTTGATGCTGGTTAAATCCCTATCTCAGGTTCTGGTTACTGGCATGACTCATTCAATCACAGTGAATCAGTATTGGTAACTTTTGCCTAAGCAGCCTGGGAATGCAGGTGATTTCTTCCTACATTTTGGCCTGCAGAGGCTGGGTAGCTCAGTGTTTCACATCACTTAGTGTTCTTGCATAGAACCAGGCTTCCGTCTCAAGAACCCACCTAATAATTCACAAGTCTCCAATTCCAACAGATTGGTGTCCTCTTCTGACCTCCCTGGAAACCGGGAGCAGGTGTGGGGAACACACATATATACAGACAAAGCACTTATATACCTAAAATAAAAATCTTTTAAAAGACGCTCTCGTGGGATTCACCACTAAAATGAGTTATGCATTTATCAATTTATTTTAGCTAACACTTTTAGCATTTTTAATGTATTGCTTCTGATTGTTCGATCTCTGTAAGACTAGATTTTGACGTTAGAAGGTTAATGGTTGAAGTTCGAGGAGGAAATAGGAGCAATTGGATTTAATTTCAGTTTTTTGATAAGACTGACAGCACATCCGCTTTTATATTCTTAAGTCAGTTTGAAAGAAAACAGTTTTGACTTTAATAAAATGATAGGGATTTTCTTTGTTAAGTTTGCTTGAATCACACTGGGAAAACCCAAGTAAGAATTTCACTTAGTTCCCAAAATATCTGCAGGTATCCTTTAAGCCATAGCAGAATGTTACTGCTCATAAAACCATCCCTACTGCATTGAGACTTTGCCTGTCTTATACCTTAACATAAATTTGAAAGTGAAAGTAATACCCACTGCATTGAATATCTTTAATAGTGTGGTTGACAATTGTGATTTGAAATTCATAAGTTCAAAGAACATTTTTCTACAGCTTGATTTTACGCTTCAAATTCCCCATGCTTTACAGCAGTTTTAAAAGGTAGGATGGAAAAAAAACCCGTCATCCCATCAATCTCAGCAATTTCCCTTATGCTGAAATAAAACGCATAAAAACTTTTAAAGGATAATCCAAATCATAGAGTCTGGCATTTTCTTATTTCATTAAATATTTCCCTCAATCATCCATAAAATTCATATGATTATATTCTATACCAAATATACAAATTAATAACATCATGAATTCATCTTAGTAACATTTTAATGATGTTAATATACTGACACTAAATGGAAATGTTTAATTTGACATTTGAAGGTATAACAAGAGATTACAATTTTAATTGCATTTTTCAGTGATAAAGTTTAATGACAATTCACAGAAATCTGTATATAAAAGAATGAGTTTATAACTTAAAATAATTTCAAAACTCTTTCATGTTGAAACATTAATAAAGCCAAAAGTCATCAAAACAAAACATTTTCTACTAGAACAATGAATGTATATAGATATTAAGGTCAGGGACTAGAATGATTACAGTCACTATCAAAGTATAGCATGCTTCCTTTATATAATATGCTGATTAAAATAGACTCTTAATTGTAAACAAATTAAACCAAATATCTCATCTCAAGTGAGCTGTTTACAATATTTTTAGTAATGTACGAATGAGAGTAACATAATTTATAAGAACACATATTTTGGGAGCTGACAATACGATCAGAGTTGAGTTCTTGCTGTTGTTGCTGAGGACTCACCCACAACAGGAAGCTCACAACCACCCATGAATCAAGCTTCCTGGGACCAAACCCTCTTCTGGCCTCTGCGTGTAATGCACTCAAATGTTCATAGACACGTGCAGACATATTAATAAGAATTGAAATAAAAATAATACAAATATGATAAAATTTTTCAGTACATTTGATTTATATGCATAGTTTGATTGACAACTCATATGTAATATATTTCATGTATACCATATTTAATATAGGCATTTGTTCTGAGATGGCTTATATATTTCCAAAGCTTTGTTAATCTTCCAATTATTCTTGATTTGCACTTTGAATAAGAGTGACTCACCATATCATATTGACAAATATATTTTTGCTTGAATTTCTACTTGCTTGGCCTTACTGTGTAATGAATTCCATGATATACTAACATGAACATATGTTGAATATCAAAATAAAGCAATTGAATTACAATATTTCTAGATAATGAATCATGGATATTTCTTACACAAAACCAGAAAGAAGAAAATCAATTGTTATGCTGACAGAATAGTCCCTGATTCTTCCCAACCAACCACCTAACCTTGGACAATGGTTTGGAACCTGAAAACTAGAAACTGTTCTTCACCTTTCTGAAAGGATTAACCCTTTCCTTTAGGGCACGTTTCCATAATTTCCTTATGTCTTATATCATACAAAATTCAGTCCTTGGATTCTATCTTCCTGTCTTGGAGCTTGTATTTTGTTATTTCTGAATTAATTTTTTAACAATGATCATTTAAAATGAAATAATCCCGAGGCAGAGGCAGGTGGATCTCTGTGAGTTTGACACCAGCCTGGACTACCAAGCGAGTTCCAGGACAGCCTCCAAAGCCACAGAGAAACCCTGTCTCGAAAAACCAAAAATAAAAAATATGAAATAATCCCTAAATTTAAGAAGTGTCTCATTTCACTTTTTAAATGTTATTCTTGAAAAGATGTTTTATAACTAATGAAAACTGTCAAAATAAATTGTTCCATGCCTGTGGGTGTACCAGGAATTGTTAAATTTCTAATGTTGATAATGTATCAATAAATTAGATGGTTATTGCAATACATATACAGAAATCCAAATGATAGACTACCAATAAATATAGGTTCACATGTAGCTAGTGCATTAGAAAAACTTTTGTGCATTTGAAATTTCTATCATTCTTTTAAAATCATTTCTTGTATGTGTGCATATGTATAGCACGTGAATGTTGTGGCTTGTGTGGAGGTCAGAGGACAACTTTGATCTTTGATTGTTCATGTGCACCTTCCATCTCATTTGTGTCTTCTACACATACAGTTTACCTCTACACATTTAGCGAGTCTCCTGTTTATTCCTCCCAACTTGCCATACCAAAGCTAAGATTACAGACAGTGCTGTCTACTAGATCTGCCATTACATGGGTTCTAGAGGTTGAACTAGGGCCCTCTCATTTTATAACAAGCTCTCAACATTCTGAATCATCTTACCATCTCACATTTTAAGTTTCTGCAATCCAGAAGCTGTAGCAATAACATAAAGGTCTATAAAGTAGTAATTTAACTTATCAGATTAAATAAATTGGACTGCATGTAAACGTCTCTGTGTCTCTGTGTTCTTTCTCAGCTGCATTCTGACTTGGACAAAGGAGAGGGCACTGTTAAATACACGCTCTCTGGAGATGGTGCTGGCACTGTTTTTACAATTGATGAAACCACAGGCGACATTCATGCAATAAGAAGTCTGGACAGAGAAGAAAAACCTTTCTACACACTTCGTGCTCAGGCAGTGGACATAGAAACCAGAAAGCCCTTGGAGCCTGAATCCGAGTTCATCATTAAAGTTCAGGATATCAATGATAATGAGCCCAAGTTTTTGGATGGACCTTATGTCGCTAGTGTTCCAGAAATGTCTCCTGTGGGTGAGTAGGCAAATACAATTTCTATCAGATGCTATAATTACTCTTCAGTATTTTTTTCTGCATGCTGATGTAGACATCCAATTTATAGGAAATCATGTTCACATATACAAATTTAATTTGGTACAGGAAATTTCATTATTCCCTCAACTCTTTGAATGCTGAAGAATAGAATATGTAACATTCTTAACTATTTCCTAATTAATTTATTTACTTGAACTCATAATATCTATTTATACTTAAATGTAGCATCCATTCAGACATGAATATGATTGCCACTGACAGAATTCATTGATGGAGACAACTAATGCATATCCCTGAAAAACTTATAATAATTCTTAGCTCACTGTAAATTATCAAGATATGCCTTGCATCAGAATCAGGAAATAACCAAAAAGGGAGTGTTTTCATTTGTGTGTATTTCCTAGAATTAAATTAAATTAAATTAAAAAAGAAACACTTCTTGTTTAAACATGTTTCCTGTGCTTTTGAATCTTAAATCTACCAGCATAAAGCAATTGTTAGAAAATTAATTATTGAAGTACAGGGACCTCATAATTATCGAGTACTTAAATTTGAGCTAGGTATGACCAATGCATATCTTTAATACCAGCAGTTGGGCATGGAGGCCAGGAGATTCTAAATTCAGGGACAGCATTGAATAAATTTTAGTTCAAGTCTATCCCCCTTAAAATGTGGTACATTTACACAATGGAGTATTACTCCGCAGAAAAAAAACAATGGAATCTTGAAATTCCCAGGTAAATGGATAGCACTGGAAGAAACCATCCTGAGTGAGGTAACCCAGTCGCAAAAAGACAAACATGGTATGTACTCACTCATATATGGATGTTAGACATGGATCAGGATAGTGCTAGTCTGCACTTCCACTGATAGAGAGTCTGGGAAACAGGAAAGAACCTAAAAGATATGCATATATGCATATTACCCAAGAGAAGAGGATTGAGACAAGATCCTCTGAATGGATGGGGAACACGGCAAGGGGTGGGGGGGAGTGGGAGCTGGGAAGAAGAGAGGGGGTGAAGAGGAAGAGAGTTGGTCACGGGGGAACAGGAAGTTGAGTGGGTGCTGGTAGAATAGGGGGAAGAGGGAATCATAGGATAGAAGACAGATCAGGCACCAGAGTGACCTCGAGTGATCTAAAGGGATAACACCAATTGGCAAGCTAAGCAATAGTGGAGAGACCACCTCGAATGCCCATTCCTGATAATGAACTTGATATCTATAACCATCCGGGAACCTTCATCCTGTGACTGATGGAAGCAGAAGCAAACACACAATTAATCACTGAACTGAACCTAAGGAACCCAGTGACAGAGAGAGAGGAGTGATGAGCAAATTGGCAAAAACTGGGCTGGCAAAACCAGCAGAGACAGCTGATCTGAACAGGGGAGAGCTCTTGGACCCCAGAGCGACAGTGGGGAGACCAGCATGGGACTGATCTGGACCCTCCAAATGTGAGTGTCAGCAAGAAGGCCTGGGCAACCTATGGGGCCCTGAGCTGTGGATCAGTGTCTATCCCTGGAATACAAACAGTCATCGTGTGCCTATAGCACAAAGATGGATGCTCTCAGCCTGGACTCTTAGGGAAGTGCCTGGACCCTACCCAGAGTGAAATGACAGACTCTAGATATCCCCTATGTGGAAGGATTTGGCAATAGGGTGGGAGGGGGGGAGTGCGGGAGGAGGGGAGGGAGAGGGAACTGGGATTGACATGTAAAACAAGCTATTTAAAATTAAAATAAAAAATGATAAAAAATGGGAAACTTAAATTAGCTGTAACATTTTACTATCGTCTTAAATTTGCAAACACCTATTTTGCATGCAATAAGATTTGGTAAGTAAAATATTTTACTTTTAATGAAAGTTTATTTAGTGTGTATATAAATATTTATATATATATGTGTGTGTGTATGTACATGCATGTTTGTGCATGTGGAGGATGGAGGTAAACATGGAGTAAATTCTTTCATCATTCTACCATATTTTTGAGTCACGGTATCTCTAAACATGTAGATTAGCAGCCTTCCTGTCAGTCTTCCCACTGTCTCTGCAAAGTACTTGGATTATGGGAATATACTGCCACATTTGATTTCTTATGTGGGTTCAGGGGATCTGAATTCAGTGTCTTTATTAATTGATACACCCCATCAGTCCCGTGAATGCAATTTCAAATTATGTCTTGAATTTTGCATCACTGCAGTCAAGCCGGAGTTATAGTTCAAAGGAACTCTTCATGTTTTGCAGGAATACTCGATGTTCTCAAACAGACTAAAACATGAACCATAAGTGCAAGACAAGGTTGTGTTCCCTATGTCTCAAATATCTTAAAGGATCTTGGCTTTTCCTACCATGTCCTAACTATACAATGAAGATTGTACTCACTAACGAAGGGTAGAGTCACCTCAGTAGTTAAGGAAGTGTCACATGGATTTACTATAAGAGTGTTACACCATGGATGCAACCTGTCATGCATTCTAGAACACAGTCTCTCAGTCACTTGAGAAACCAGCTGAAGATTATTCACGTAAGTTTCTAGTTTTACTGTGCACAGGGAAGTACCTGCATGTCTCAGGTATTTTCTAATACAAAGATGCCTTTCAAATGAGGTGTTATGATTGCAACATATCTAGAACAATCAGAAAGAAACATGTCTTATTAGAAAGTAATTACAGAAAACACAATTTGATATTCTAGGGCGAGAAATAATAATAGTACAATGTACTACATGACAAAGTGTTTTTAAGTGGCAATGCGGTTTAGCAGAATTTGTGTAAATTTAAAATATCAGCACGAATTTAGAAAAATCACTGACTCTATTTTTAAACCAAAACAATGTACATAGGATACACACACACACACACACACACACACACACACACACACTACACTGTTAGAAGAATTTTGACTCATAAGATAAACAATTAAGGCTTTCATCATGCTTACTAGGATAAATAATAGGTCCTTGCAAATAAAGCCTGTAAATAAATTCAGCTAGCAAAAAAAATTAGTCTGAAAAATCAGGAGAAATGAAAGAAAGTGAGAAATAAAGAGATTCTGGCTTTTGAAGGATTGAGGTATCACGATTTATTATATTATGATATAATATAGTAATCTATATGAGAATAAATTCTTCAAATTAAATCTTTAGGTATCATCACTGAAATTTGTGTTGTTTTACATCTCCACTATTCCTATCTATCTGTCAGTCTGTCTGTTTATCATCTGTTAATGTATGTATTCATGTATTGTTCTTTCATCTATCTATATCTATGTATCTATCATCTATCTATCATATATTTAATCATCTACCTATCTGTATTATCTATCTGCCTACTATCAATAATTTATCATAAAATTATAGATAACTAGAGAACAGAGATATAGCAGAGGAGTGTTTATTGAAACTTAAAGCATCTGACCTTCTGTGTTGGTATATATTCTTTGAAGACACAAGCATAATTTTCAACTTTTTAATTAATGGAAAGAGGCATCGAACACATTACAAATTAAATGTTAATGTATGTACAGTGAATTGCACATGGGGATATTCAAAATCTTACAAATATCATAGAGATTACTGTAGGACAATGGGATTTGTGGCAACTGCTATCCATGTTATTCACAGCAAACATACAGTTAATCAGGAACTCTGAGGTTTTCCTTGTCTGCTTCAACTCAGCTCTAAGATCCATATCACCAGTTGGGAAAAGCTCATAGTTTTCATAACCTAAGAGCAGAATTTCTCACTTATTTTCTTTTGCTATATAATTCATTTTATTTTATTTATTGTAATGTTAAATCTTTTTGGCCAAGGCCCAATGACACATTTCATACTCAACTGACAATATAGCTATTTCTGTAACACATCATATAGATGCAGATATTTAGATATTCTAAATGCATAGCATTTTTAACCAATGACTGTGAACATAAAAAAATAACAAGGAAAACTCACTCTACAGAAATATAAATACTATCAATATTAAATTATATGATATATACATATATATGTGTGTGTATGTATTAAAGGAAAGCCAATATATTATATATTACATTAATAATATAAACTTATTTAGAAAAGATCACAAATACATAAGGAGTTAATGTATTTTTAATATAAACATGAGATGAATAAATATTTTAGTATTGAAAAAGTTTATTATGTAAATGTGATTTTAATCATGCTGGATTATAGAGAGGAAAGAATGATCAAATAAATGTAGAATGAAAATTATACAAAGGGAATATTACAAAGACTGTAAGTATGTAAGTATGAAGAAAATGGTAGGAAGGTAAGTAAAGACTTCAAGGAAATTCATATATTAGCCATAATACAATGAATTTAACACTCCAAAACTAAAATTATCGTGGTGATTCTATGAATAGTTTGAGAATAAGGCTTGTGATAATACCTTTTGTTACATCCCATCTTCCCCGGGAAACACACTGAAAGACAAATTGCTACTACTTTGACCTAAGGAAATTGCCACTTGATCCAGAAAGTCCCCAGGTCCTTGGAGGCAAATTTGGACTTTATGAATGTCTTCATAATTCTTTAAGACCATGAGCAGCACAGTGAATTACAATAATGTGCCCTCCTTAATATCGGATGATTATGTATCTGGGGACCACGCAGTTTCAGTTACTTTCTTATGGACTTCAATTTTAAATATGTATCTTATTCCTTTCCCTCAGTTAAATTATATTAGATAGCTTGATGGGTTTCTACGACTGATTTAGGAGTTACAATAAAATTTTACATTATTGTTTTAAATAACACATTGTGTATAAGATTTTAAATGCATATTTAAATATATTTATGTCTTACTACTTTATTTCAAATAAGAAATTATTTTCTGAGTCCCATTATACTAAAATTTGTTAAAATTTTGTCTTATGTATATTTTAGAATATTTCGGATTTATGTGGCTTCAACAAGCATGAACTATGGGGGTTTATATTGTCAGAAATATATAAGA